AAGGAGTCATAGAACCTGCAATCATTCTCCAGGGGACGGTTGACTATAGAAATTCAGAAGGCCCACTTAAACCGTTTCTCACGTCATAAGGTGATAACCCTTGCTATATGCAAGAGGAAACCGTAAAGGTAAACATCCCTCCCTCCCTCCTTCCTCGTAGTAATATCAGAATCAAATATCAAATCAAAGTAACTTGAGCATCAAGTGTCCGCTCTCCCTTCCGAGGTGTAAATGCGTCGTGATATACGCGCCGGGATATATCGGGGACAATTTATTTGGAGGACAACCGCTTCGCACCCTTGCTTCCTTACTACAACCCTTTCACACAAAAACCAACCCATTAACCACGAAAATAAAGCATAAATTCCACCATCAATAGCTTTAAGGTTAGCATTAACACTTCACAGAAAGGATTCCCAATCTTAAGCATGAAGGAATAGGGTTTATTTATAATAAATGTTCGCAAAAAGGCTTTGCGATCGTTCCAGGCACCGTGCTGAGCCGAGATGATTGCAAAACGAATAAATAATGTGCACATGTAGCTGCGCGCGCGCATATTACATGTCAGCCGTGTAAATGTGTTTATTTTTAAATGGAAACGACTTTTTAAATTATTAAAATTGTTAAGTTGTTGAGAATATCATTAGTTTTGTCATATTTCAGGGAATTGTCAACGAGTTTGCACGCTTGCAAGCTGATAGGTGTGTTGAGTTAAAAAATTAAATCGAATATCGTGATTGAGACAATAGAATGTCTCAAAACGTAACGAAATTTACAAGTAAAGTTAACAGATTGGTGTGTAGGTGTGGCAAACTTCGAAACACCTGACCTATACTTCTTAATACCACAGCATTGTAAGGAACTGGGACGTCAGTACACTACTGACATTCAAAAGATGGCAAAACTTGTAATTGACTTCTATTGACTCGTTCATCTAGCATAATGAATGCTAGTTATTCGTCTAGGAGGGCTGGTATAACAGAAGTATTTTAAATGCTGTGACAGCATTGACAGTCACCCCCGAACCGTACAGACTTGATTTCAATAATAAGCGTGTTTACACAGACATCCTCCTCGCAGTAAAACAGACGCCATTTGATTCACCCTTTATTTGGGCGCAATAAAGGCATTCCTTGAGTCCTTATATAATTACGTCTGACGTCTACATTCAGCTCAGCATTCAATACCAAAACTGAGGACTTACCGAGGAAGTTGTAACTCGATGCGTTTCCGACGCAGCTCCGTAGGCGGGGGGTTAAGTCTCTCGATCAAAGGCGCCGCTGCGAGACCACGCCTACACCGCCTCACACACAAACAGACACACACATACACAACCCTTTCACCGCCGCCGCTATGTTCACACTAAACACTATGTTTCTTTTGTTTACTTTATGACTCAGGTTGCGTATATAGTTGTTGTGAAACTGCAGCATACTGTTTCTGGGTGCTGTTATAACACATAAAATGATCGAGGCATTGTTCGGCAGGGCGCGTCTTCCGGCCGATGATGATGATATACGATGCAGATGTTGATAAGAGACAGAAGATGACGGTTAAGATAAAAAAACATTATCGTAAAGATTTTTCGGAAACCAACGGAATTATGCGAACAATCACCATGAATAAACAGAAGCTACTGGGCTGAGCTACAAGACAATGATGAGTTCCAAAATATTATCCAAACATTACAGAAGTACACAGGTACCTGTAATAATCAAAACATTCACAATTAATTCATGAATAGCTCCACAAACAAAGATGTCTACACATCAAGTAAGCCAACACCACACGCCGGCGGACCTCAAAGACCTCGGGTTTTTATATGAACCTCGAAAGTTTTTACAAAAGTAAGATACCGGGACCTTAATGATGGCTCAATCATTTAACCATCAAGTTAAGTTGTGACAATTTGCATCTCCGATCCACTGATTAATCATCTTTTAATTACATGTTTTGGCTTTTTATTATAATGTTATTTCATTAAGGAAACTTTATTTTATCCTCTGTATGTGACTCTCTCTGCATGATAAAGTGGTGTTATGTTAATATTTTAGTTATTTTGTCTTTTAAAGTAGTTTAAGGTGAAGATATTTCGAATGATACCTGCTAGTGATTGCCAATACCAAACAATTTTCCTATTCCTTTACCTACCTCCCTTTGTAAAAGCAGTTACAGGAAACATCTCTAGAATTTAATCAATATTATGTTTGTTTTTTAAATTAACTTTACACCCAACTAAATATGTAATACATAAAATTAGATTTTGTGTCATAAAAATGTACATAACACAACTACAGGTCTCCAACTGTCTCTTGTATCAAATGCGTGCGGTGTAGGTTACCATTCTATTTGTTTAAAAATATTTTTCTACCGCTGCACACTGTAAAAAGTCTTCTAAAACAGATGTAGGTAACAGACAGCAGTTAGTTGGCTGACTGGTATCAATAGTAACCGATACATTCGTTGTTTGAACTTGTTTGTGCAGTAACACGAGTCAACTTAAAATAACAAGACAAAACACAGTATTGAAAACACCAGCCAATCCCATACGTAGCGATATTAAATTACAGAACTGTCAGTGACTGCCACTGACTGTTCTGATGGCTTGCAAGCCATTGAAATACTGATATATTATTTTAGTAGTTAAAAAATATCCGGGAACCAGTTCCTTTTTCTTTAAATGAGTTAAATAAAGATTGTGGTAATTTTTTTATCGTCATGTTGTTATTACTAGCGCTATCTAGTATCGAATAGCGAAACTGTTAATTTGTGATTTACAAACTACTTAGGTATGATAATTGTGCATTTTTATTTGAAATTGAATTAAAGAAAAATCAATACTAATGAAACCAATTAAAAAGTAAGACAAATTGACTGTAGTAGCAGTAACATGTCTACCGTATCTGCTAGGTATAATAACGCAAATAAAATATTTTTGTCGTGTAAAAGAAATAAAAATAAGTCGTTAATGAATGTTATTTTTTCTATTTGGAACATTAAAAATACAGGTATTTTTATTACTTACTCACGTAATGCGTAAACTGATTAGAGGAAACTCGAATAGTTGAGATTGATACTTGACTGTGCGATGGCATTCGCGGCACACACTAATCAACAATCCTCGAATTATTTCATGTGAGTAAACTTTAAATAATATTTAAATCTAGTACCTAGAGGTATATCTTACTCACAACAATCCGATACAAAAAGAAATACTTTCCTACAAATAAATTATTTCGACAATGTGTGAAGCTCTTATTCTTCCATTCAGTTCAGTTCCTAATATTACACATTACTTCTTATTGAAACTGTTGAAGCGAGCATCGAATACACCTTTCCACAAGAACACTTGACACTTTCATTATTAGTTTAAAAGTAAAATCCTATTCCCACGCCGTAAAGTGAGTTTTATTCACAAATTCACTGATGCGGAATAATCTGAGTGACTTGTTGACATTTCGCTTTGTGTTCTTTGTTATATTTCGAGTTTGCACACTTATTTCTTCATCTATTATGCAGCTACTAAGTATTCTTTTTGATATTTAATGCAAGGTGTTCTATGCTCAAGAATATTAAATTTTTAGATTTTTACTAAACACAAAACACACAGAAGTTATTAATAAGATCTTACTAAAAGACTAATTGTGTAAATATATGAAGCATTTACTGTATTAGAAATAAATTTTTGTTATTAATACTATCACAACAATATTGAAAAAAAAATTATGGATGTTAATTATATCTATAATGCCATCTATTGTTGAATAGCAAAACTAACTTAAGAAGTGGTTGTAGAGATTATGAAGTTTGTTGACTTAATCATAGATGGCGCTGAATTTGAGTTAATTTGTAAAAAACAAAACGATATTATACTGTCTGTTTATACGTGTGTATAAACAATACTTTTGAAAAAAATTGAAAACTGTGATTATGAAACAGTAATATCTGAAATAAAAAAAATGGTTTGAATGTTTATTTCTGGCGAATCTTCGAAAAAAAACAGAAGGATTAGAATGAAAATATGATTGCACATTTTGACCTGGACAACATAAAATATACAGCGAATTCGAAAATTCGATGCTGGTGAGATGTCTTTTTCGTAACATATTTTTACACATGTCGCTTTTGACAGATGTCATTTATGACAACTGCCATTTTTAACAAATGGCAGTTATTCCTTACGCCACGAGCCCACCGCACTGCGCCCTCTGACGGACATCACGCGCGTTTGCTTCCAACTCCGGCAGCGGCCCGTGGGATGAAGTTGAAACGCACGGTAACGCACCAGTGGCGCGGGTAGTGGGTTCGATTCCGGGTTCGGCACAAAGTCAGTGCTACATACAGCGCTCACTGTGTCACACTCACTAGAAATGCTGCTAATTTAGTATGTCTCACGATAGTTATTATAAAAACATAAGTTGTTCATCTTACAAAATTCCTTTTTGACAAATTGATCGAATTTCAGAACCAAACGCATCAGTCGCCCAATAACAGGTTTCAAAAACATAAACTAATTATAGGTATACATATTTAGGTGTACTTATACAAGTACCTACTTTTATTCTACGTCGGCTTAAACGGTTATCAATTAACAACGAGCAATATATGCTCGTTGTTAATTGATAACTCACTATTAGGTAATCGATCTTCTTAGTTTATTTAATCGATAGGTACTATGTATTTTCTACGTTATCCCGGTGGATATATTATTATTTTTATTTAAATGTTTATACAAACATTTAACAGGTATACACCTAACCAGGTGGTTAGGTATACAAACATTTAAATATAAATGCGTCAATATTATATAAATTCTAACATATATGTCTAATTATGTATTTTTAAAATTGGTAAAACTCGTTCCTGGCCGGCTGTAACTTGCAAACTAATTCTTAGAAAAACGAACTTGATATAAAACATATTAGCATACATTATCGGAGCCACTTTTATATTTGTTGCTAAAACAGTTTTCGCCAGTTGACGCGCGAGATACGACCAGCATGGACTTCACCGACAAAGTAGTGCTCATCACTGGCGCGAGTGCCGGTATTGGAGAGTCCACCGCTCTCCTGTTCGCTAAACTTGGCGCGAAGCTGTCGCTGGTGGGAAGAAATCAAGCTAACCTACAGGCAGTCGCCGATGAGTGCGAAAAGCAGAAAGGTCTGAAACCTCTGGCTGTAGTCGCGGACTTGGGAACTGATGAGGGCGTTGAGAAAACTGCTAAGGACACTCTTGAACATTTTGGAAGGTAGGATATAAATGTGATCAGTAAATGTCGTAGTAATGCAAGTAATCGACTGCATAGTTGGCTCGGTGGTTGAGCAATTGGCTGCCGCGCAACGTATCGCGGCTTCGGTTCCTGCACAGAAGTTCACAGAACAACTCTTTGTGTGATCCACAGATTGTTGTTAAGGGTCTAGGTGTCATGTGTGTAAACTTTGTATGTTTGTAAATGCACCCACGACACAGGAGAAAATACTAGTGTGGGGCAACGGTTTTTTTATGTGAAAAAGAAGTACAAAGATATTGAATTGTGCAATATTGAAACAAAATATCAGCAGAAGCTACTTACATAGTGTACACACGTAGGCGACAATATTTTTTACTATTAGTTCTGGGCACCAACCAAAGGCAAACCAAACTAAACTTAGTCTGTTGATATATCATCGTAGGCAGGGTAGACTTGCCGTAGAAACATAATCGTCGCAGAACAATTGATTTTAGGACTTGTCATTGTTAATCTGTAATGTAATAAAACTTTAGCCTTACAATGTTACAGGCTAGATGTATTGGTGAACAATGCAGCAGTGGGTGCCAGGACGACCATCCAGCTGGCGAACATGGAGACATTCGACCACGTGTTCAACGTGAACATCCGCGGCGTGTACAACCTGACGCGGCTGCTGGTGCCCGCCCTCATCGAGTCCAAGGGGAACATCGTCAACGTCTCCAGCATCATGGCCACCATGGTCACTACTGGGAACCTGCCGTACAGTCTTTCCAAGGTAACATTTATAGAGAATTCTTTCATTTTAATAACCGCTCTTATCTCCAATGATTTATACCTAAATTACGGTTTCTGTTGACAGGCCGCCCTCGACCACTTCAGCCGCCTGATCGCCTACGAGTTGGCTCCAAAAGGCGTTCGTGTAAATGTGGTCAGCCCTGGAATCACAGTAAGGATTAATTTTTCTTTTCCAATATTTCCACTATTGATTAGCACTGTTTAACTTGCAATTTTATCCTCTTTGTAGGTAAGCACATTCGTCCAGCGTTTGACTGGTTATTCGGACGAAGAGTACCGCGCGTGGCTCAAAACGGCTGAAGCCACTATCCCGATGGGAACAGCCACCACTGGCGATGACTGTGCCTACATGATCGCCCACCTCGCTTGTGACAAACTGAGCAGGGTTGTTTCTGGTGCCGTAGTGCCGGTAGATGGCGCTCTACAGTTCGCTGGATCAGGAAACAGTGAAATTCTAAAAGAGCAGATAAAATGAAGCGTGTAGTTGATGTTGTTCAAATAATGTTTGTATGTTTCTGTGCCATTCTTGTTGTTGTTTATAATAAAAAAAAATCACCAAGTTTTTAGCCGTTTTCCTAAATCCACATTACTTAATATTGAATACAAATATAATAAAAAACTTGTTTCATCTCCGCTGTTAAACAGGTCGGGTCGTTGTTATTGTCTGCCACGGGTAAGCCATTATGATAATTAAAATTACTAATCAAGAATCATGAATTATGTAACGTCTGGCATTTGGAGTAGGTACATATTGTATTCATATCTAATAATAATAGTAGTGTGATAATATCAATAAATGTTAAATTAAAATATTCTAGCTTGTTTTGTGAATTAATTACGCTATTTCCGAAGATAACTACCAAGGTACTGTGCGCTAGTTTTTATTCGGGTTTTTCCTCAAACTACACGATAATATTATTACTAGAGTCATAACAAAACTTTCACAAAATGAATTTTCATTTCACTAGTCAAGGAAAGTGATTTAGGTTTTCAATTTCAAAATTACCAGTCTCTTGTACATCATGGGTACGTCCCGGATTGGGATTATCAATTAAAATGTTACTAAGGCAGTCATTATTGATAAAAAGTTCATTTCTGAGCTATATCTCTGTCTCTATCTAAAACCTAGGTAGGTATGTTATGAACTAAAGAAAAACTGACAAACTATTTGAAATAGTCCACACATTTTAAAAACACAGTTGTTTTATATCTAGTTTATTATTATTTATAATCATTTCATTTGCTTGATAAGCAAGTTGCTAGGACTGGTGAACCTCAGTCCGCCGTCCACCGGGACAACCGTCCCTGTCACCAGGCGACTGTTGTCACTGGCTAGGTGAACGATCGTTTGCGCGATGTCACTCCCCTGACAAACTTCACCCAGTGGTATAGTTGTAGCGACGGATGACAACCAGCCCTGGTATTGGTCTTCTGTGCAGCCTGTCATACGCTTTACTATTGTTGAAACCTGAAAGTATGTGTAATGATCACTAAATAAGTACCTTTCAAACTAGCTCAATTCTTTTCGGACAATGCTCAACTATATTCGAGCAAGATTGATAATTGTCGAGCGAAACTCGATAGTTTTCAAGCAATCTCCACAACTGGAGGAGATTAAGACAGGGTTTCACTTTTGAACATTCAATCATTGTTAAGAACTTACAGTGACTCCGGGGCTCACGGCATTTACCCGAACACCTTTGGGAGCCAGCTCCAGGGCTACCAGTCGCGTGAAGTGATCCAGAGCCGCCTGAAAATGCGAGAAACAATCATGATCAGGGGATTTTAGTAATTCCAAATAATATTTTAAGTGTAGGAGAACCATGCTTCGGTATGAATGGGCTGGCTCGATCAGAGTGGTACCACTTGGGACCGGACCGGAGGTCCAGAATGCATCACAGAAAATAACGCGTTGTGAGTGACGACAGGATTACCGGAGCATGTTTTGTGATTTATTATCAGCACCTAGTGTTTTATGAAAAGCAAAATAATCATTCTACGTAGAATGTTAACAATTGGGCAGGGGCTTGTACCAGTGTGCTTGAACACGTTGCAACACTTTGACAGTAATTTACACCTGTATGTCCCATATACAACATTACCTTAGCCATTCCATAAGGCAAACTGCCCACGACGACCATAGACCCAGAAATGCTGGACACATTTACGATGTTTCCACCAGTCTCTATCAGCGCCGGTACCAGCAGCTTTGTGAGGTGGTACACTCCTCTGACATCCACACTGAACACCTCATCGAAGGTCGCCATGTCTGCGAGCTGGATGCAGGTCCTGGCGCTAATACCTGCATTGTTCACAAGTACATCCAGCCTGGGAAACAATACGTCATGATTTAAGACTAGGAAATAATGCTACGTTCATCATGTTTTAATTTGAGTTTGTCAATAATAGCACCATAACTTAAGAGCTTACGTTTAATAACAGTTTAATATCCTGTTGTTTTCCAAAGATATAGATAAAGGTGCTTGTGGGGAGATCAGTTTTACTCTTTCAGGTATGTACCAAAGAGTACAAAGCAGATACTTGTTAAAATTAATATAAATGCTATCGGCCGTAATAGTGACGATGACAATGTATGGAAATTAAAAATCTAATTAGTCCATCATTTAGGTAATAAAAAAATATTGGACACGTATTTTTTTATTTTGTCGTATAAGAAAACAATACTTACAAAACGAATCAAAGTTTAGGAGTGGGGAGGTAGCTACGTCATTTTTGAGTATAAAACGTAGGTACACAAAAGTGACTTCACGCGATATTTCAAATTAATATATTGTCGAAAGTATTTGTTTCCGCAAGAAAAGAAATTACGTATCTAATGTTTTTATAATGTTTTTTTAATGTTACGAACGGAGACGGACATCAAAATAAAAATGAATCATCTACCCTATTATTTACTTTTGGAAGTTTGCTGATGTTATTACAACAGATCTGACGAGAGCGTTATCTTGTACACTTTTATTACAGAGATAACATTAGAATATTACAGTGCCTGGCTACAGTATTTCGTCAATTATGTTGTCCAATTAATTTAAGCAAATCTATTACCGTTTAAAATGGTCGAGAGTCTCCTTGGCCGTTTTCTGGATCCCCTCATCAGTCCCCAGGTCCGCGACGATCGCCAGCGGCTTCACGCCCCTCTGCTTCTCACACTCGGCCGCGACTGCTCGCAAGTTAGCTTCATTTCTTCCCACCAGCGACAGCTTCGCACCAAGTTTAGCGAACAGGAGAGCAGTGGACTCTCCTATACCGGCACTCGCGCCAGTTACTAGCACCACTTTATCAGTGAAGTCTACGTTCATATTCGTAAATATTAGTAACGTGTTGTTTACTGGAACGATTGTGGAATACTGAAGTGAACACAATCGCGAATATGTCGAACTTGTGTGCAACAGACTAGCACAAGTTCAATGACTTGTTGCAGCTCGTTCCCGGTTTCTAACTAAAAATAGTATTGCATCTACAACATGATCAAACATTATTAACCCTTTGAGTACCGTCATTATAGACACAATTAAAGAACAATAGGTTGCGGTTACCGGTGTCCTCGCGGTGTTTGACAGTTTAAGTCAGTTCTCTAATGCAGTATACTGTAGTAGTTTTTGCTCTAATGCGTGTTTTATACACATATCAAAAAGAAACTAAGATCTGCGTAGTTAGGGGACTTCCGTCAACCGAGTACAAAAATCGAATGAGAGTTACGGTAATTCTTTTATAAAACTAGAGGTAGGTTTAAAAAACCGACTACAACCCCCTCTTTTATTTAACTCGTCGAGTACCGTATTTATAGACACAATTAAAGAACAATAGGTTGCGGTCACCGGTGACCGCTTGGTGTTTGACAGTTTAAAGTCGATTAATTAATATAAGAAAACCTTCTTATAGTTACTTTTAAACAGTGTTTTAAAAAAATACACAAATTAGACGACTTTAAAATTTAAGCCAACTATCAAACCACGTACGATGTGTGCCTACGATGCTTTCGCTAACTTGAAAAAGGTGATATGATAAAGTGGAGGGATGTGATCAAGAACGTGGCCAAACTCCCATCCCTCGTATTTGTGGACTCGCTTGTAGAAGCTAAAAAGTATTTTTGTACAGTTCGTTCGTTGCTAACGATCATATTAGGAGGTAGTCTTCTGCATCTTGTTCTTATGAATACGATTTAATTAACTACATAATATGTATGAATGTATGAGTATAAGATTGTAGGTGAATGGTTTTGTTTTCTCTTTATTAAATACTAGCGACCCGCCCCGGCTTCGCACGGGTGCAATAGCCATGTATCATACATACAAACCTTCCTTAAGAATCACTCTATCTATTAAAAAAAACCGCGTCAAAATCCGTTGCGTAGTTTTAAAGACCTAAGCATACATATGGACATACAGCGAAAGCGACTTTGTTTTATACTATGTATTGATAACGATAGTGTTTAAATCGAAGGGGATTATGCCAGACTCATCGTGACCATGACAATTATTGGAGTAGCGAGAGATATTAGGATCTGTCCAAACTACATACGAATTCAGAGTTTATCTGGACAGCACCGCGGTAGGTATATGATTAAAGTTATAATTAACACCAAAATGTTAAATAAAAACAGGAAAATAAGTTTTAAATTGTTTTTAATGTGTATAATAAAATAAATACCTAGTTATCACAATCAATTGACTTATTTTTTTACATTTGACTTCTATAATACTTTTCCATCATCAATTTACTTGTCCAACGCCGGAGTGTGTACCGAGTTGTTGAACCTGTAGCCGCCGTCTACCTCGATAACGGTCCCTGTGACCAGCCTGCTGTGGTCGCTGGCGAGGTGGACCACCATGCGAGCTATGTCAGCTCCCACGCACGGTTCTCCCAGGGGGATCTTATGACTAAACGATGCCAACCATGCTCTGTACTCTTCCTCTGATTGGCCTGTGATGCGCTTCACGAATTCTGATACCTGGTGACAGAAATGTTTTTTTAATATCCTGGAAGTCAGTCTTGAGTTTGAAAATTGAAATACTACACTACGCTCTTCAACCGTCTTATAATGGACTACCTGTGGGTGGTTTACCAAAGGACACGAGAATATTATTATCCCAGAAAGCATTACCTACTTACGGTTATGCGAAAAAATGTGAGACTTATCTCGAACACTTTAAAACATAATAACTTTAATATACGAGGAATAACCCAAAAAGAAAAAATATTTTCTGCTTTGCTTACTCTTCTACCCCACGCAATTGACAGAATAATTATAATGTTTCAAAGTATATACTTACAGTAACTCCAGGACTGACTGTGTTGACTCGGACACCCTTAGGAGCCAGCTCCAGAGATATCAGACGGGTGAAGTGGTCTAGAGCAGCCTGGAAAGAGAAATTTAGAATAATCAGTATTTGGAATTGCAACCTTAAGTAATTGTGTTATAAATAATTATGCTATTGTGGATTACAATGAGTTATAGGATAACGTTGTATTATTACCTTTGTCATGCCGTATGGCAGACTGCCCACAGATACCATGGTGGCCACAATACTGGAGATGTTGACAATATTGCCCTTGGTCTCGACGAGGGCGGGGGCCAGTAGCTTAGTGAGGTAGTACACTCCCCTCACGTTGATCCTGAACACATCGTCGAACATCTGCATGTCTGTCTCGTGCAGAAGCCATGTGAAGACACCAATGGCTGCGTTGTTCACGAGGATGTCCAGTCTGCAAGGAAAAATAACTAAAGTCAAAGATCTTTATTGTGAGACAGTGGTTACAAAGGTTGTTGTGTTCATGTACTGGTCCACCATGTTAGGCATACAATAGTTTATGACACAGCGTATAAATTGCAGTAGCTGTACATTATAATATTTTTTTATGGCATAAGCCGGTAAACAAGCAGACGGATCACCTGATGGTAAGCAATCGGCGTCGCCCAGTTACCGGCCTTTTGGGAATTAGGAGTTTGAGGATCGTTGGGGATTCAGGGATTGGGGAGATTGGGGAAGTGGAGGTTAATTGGGCCTCCGGTAACCTCACTCACACGACGAAACACAACGCAAGCGTTGCTTCACGTCGGTTTTCTGTGAGGCCGTGGTATCACTCCGGTCGAGCCGCCCCATTCGTGCCAAAACATGGCTCTCCCACACTTAATTATTAAATACTGATTGAATAAAGAAACTTTTATTAATTTCATTTTGCATCAAAACATAAAATGGCACTTCAACTGTTTATGAATCTTTCAGGTAAAAATTCATGCAATGTATATTTTGTCTTCTTATTGACAAATATGTATATGTCTTGGTCATTTCGTAAAAAACATTGAATACAGAATATAAAAAATCCTTTCACACGTACACTTACAAGCTAATCTAAAGGAAGAAAACAAAATGTTCGAACTTAATGAATCTTTGGTCTAATGTGTATAACGTAATGGACATAACGTAACATAACGCCTTTTACAGAGGCTGGGGCAGAGGTACACATTACGGCACTTAATGCCACTGACAATGTAACACCCACTTTTCACTATTTATGTTATGAGACCCGTGTAATAGGGGGTGAGCCTATTGCCATATACCGGGCATAATGCCAGACTCCATGCTACTACTAAGAAATAAAAAAAACCATTAATACTTTTCCCGACTCCGGAAGCGAACCCGGCTAACGACGCAGTGATCTATGAAAAGTGAATAAAATTCAACTTACCGTCCGAAATGTTCGAGAGTATCCTTAGCAGTCTTTTCGACACCCTCATTGGTCCCCAGGTCCGCGACGATCGCCAGCGGCTTCACGCCCTTCTGCTTCTCACACTCGGCTGCGACTGCTCGCAAGTTGGCTTCATTTCTTCCCACCAGCGACAGCTTCGCGCCAAGTTTAGCGAACAGGAGAGCTATAGCCTCACCTATACCGGCACTCGCGCCAGTTACTAGCACTACTTTGTTTGAGAAATCGTAATCCATGTTGAATTTGAGCTTGTGTGCCGTGTGCTTACTGCTTCAAGTCTCGTTTTCGACTACAATTTATATTTCGTGCACAGTTTATAAATGGGCACTGTTGATATGTTTATCATGACGCGCTGATAGATACCGTCTCAGTCAATGACTAATAAATAGAAGATATACCTACACTACTGTTGTATGCAAGGTGTATTGTATGATTTCATTGTTTTTATTTCGATTTACCTATCTACTACAGAAATGCCACTGCTTATGTTGACTTGTATGTATGCATTATAAACTATGTATTTTCTGGTCTACCTTGCAATTTTGATTGTGATTTCTTTTTTTATGGCATAAGCCGGTAAACGTGCAGACGGATCACCTGATGGTAAGCAATCGGCGTCGCCCATGGACACCTGGAACACCAAGGCATTACAAGTGCGTTACCGGCTTTTTGGGGATTAGGAGTTTGAGGATTGTTCAGGAATTGGGAAAATTGGAGACGGAGAGGGTAATTGGGCCTCCGGTAACGGTTCACGTCGGTTTTCTGTGAGGCCGTGGTATCACTCCGGTCGAGCCGGCCCATTCGTGCCGAAGTATGGTTCTCCCACACTTGAAAATTTCTATGTATGCAATACCACATTTTGTTAAATTATAGGTATACTTGTCCTTTGTTTTGCTATATAAATTATTATTATTCTTATATAGCTATGATAACGATATAATAACAAGTTCTGTTCCTTAAACCTTTAAAAGTATTCCTCCTCTTCAGTCGTAGTTCATTTTCCGCCTCTAATCCACTCGGCTGTCCCATGGGGATGTGTTTCATATTCCTCGTCAATGGGGTCTGTAGGTTTCAACCACTACGTGGTGGTCAATTTATCTATGCATACAAATAGACCCTGTCTCTTGCACTAGAAGCACCTATTCCACAAGAACTATCTATTATGTTTTGTCAAATACTTAATGTTTCTTGTATGAATTTATTCGACAATTGTAGCGTGAGTATGACGAGTGACGAGCAGTAGAAGATGAATCAATAATCAAACACTGGGCACAATTTGAGACTCTATTATAACAGAGTATTTTCGAAAACTTCGTGACTGCCTCGTTGGCCGAGTGGTCGTATGTGCGACTGCCGGGCAAAGGGGTCTCGGGTTCGATTCCCGGGTCGGGCAAAGTATTACTGGATGTTTTTAAATATTCTCAGTAGTAGCACGGAGTCTGGAATTGTGCCCGGTATATGGCAATAGGCTCACCCCCTATTACATGGGACTCATAACAGAAATAGTGAAAAGTGGGTGTTACATTGTACAGTTGGTATACCTCTAATGTTCACTTCTGGCTACCCCTACCCCTTCAGGGATAAAAGGCGTGATGTTATGTTATGTTATTTTCGAAAACCCAATAACACTTTTCTCAACAAGGAAATTGAACCCGAGTCTCTTCACAGCAGCACTTAGGTATGATCACTTGACCTTGTGACAATCCCGTAAATGATATGTGCACTTATCTTAGTCTAATCATTTAGCAAGTCACCTCACTCACTACTCCACACAATAATAATATTATGAAATTTTCTAGATGAGTGTTGTTATCAATATATCAGCTGATAATATTTCTATGATTCATATCATACTACAGTTTCTGTAGTACGAACTTTGTATTTCTGGTTGATAAACAATTTTGAAAGACTGATTGATACTTACACTGATAATAATCTCATATTGTATAATGTATAGTCGGCTAGGTAATTAAAATGTATTACTTAATTAATGCATTGTTAATAATCAAGCTGCAACACAAGTTTATGCTGGGTTTGAACCCTAGATCGAACAATACCTTGATCAAAAAAAGTAGGGACTTAAATAAGTAGGAAATACATAAAAATTTCAAATTTTTAACCTTTAGCATCGCAAAGAGACCGTCACAATTCCCATACTTGGCAAACGGCTTGGGGATTATTTTTTAAGGGGGGAAAATCATCGAATGACTGCTCCCGCCTGGGTGAGGCGGAAGGGAGTGTCAGACTCTTACTGACTAAAAACCACCCCGTTCCTTCTCCTGAACTTCAAGCCGAAGCCCCGGTAACCCGTTAAGTTCTCCGCGACTCCGAATCGGCATCAGCCCTATTGGGTCCCATCCGTGGTGGTCTGATGGAGGTATCATTTACTTTATGGGATGCTGAACATCATGCAAAACGAGTTCATACTCCCTCACGAGAGAGTCAACGAGTTCATATTCAAGCCATTCTTCAAGAAACTGTTGCAAAGAGCTGAACTACTCATTCAAGGAATCACTGGTTTAATCTGGATTTTTCCAAGACCTTATAATCAAGATATTAAGTGAATACCGGAATAATACAACCGCTTTTCACAGCTATCTTGCTCATACAATCAGTTAGCAACAACATGCTATCTGCTAAATGGTTTTGACGAGCCATATCTTAGGTACCTACCTTTATTTACATTTGTTTTGTTTTTAGGGTACCGCGATCACATGAAATAAGCCTTACTTGAAGACAATTTCTTCATCAATATGTTTTATCTTATACGAATATATAACTTAGTAGGTACCAAAATAAAGTAATTAGAAATAATATTTATTCTTTTATTGTGTATTTAAATTATGGATTTCTAATTAGGCACAAAAATGTGACTGTGATACCTGTGACTTCTCTGGTGTTGCGGGTGTCCAAGGGCGGCGCTGATCGCCTACCATCAGGTGATCCGTTTGGTCGACTGCCTCTTCTTCCATAAAAAAAAATATATCTCCACAGTAATCGAAAAATATCAAAATCCACGCTAAATGAAAATGAAAAACATACAGCAAAATAGTATATTCCCATTAAAGTTTATAGGAGTTTCCTATAAACATGACGTCACTATTATGGAGAGGTGAACGACTTAAATAAACATTTTATAACCAAGGTCAAACCAAGGCCTGGTACGGAACTCCAGAGAGTAATATTAGTAGACTCTGATACCATATGTTCATTGATCTAGTACCTAAATATTTAATCAAATATAATGTTGCATAACATGGTGTAATAGTGCGCCTTGCAAAATGTTATGAAATACTTATAACAATGACTGGCAAATTGTTATTAAATTTACCTGGGAAACTGACACTATTATTATCTTTATTACCAGTTTGTTTGGATGGACAATTGAAATTTTTTCGGATTAAATATTCCTAGGATGATCTTCAAAATACTGTATGTTAATAGGATCAACGGATACCATGGCATGTGTTCAACATGTAGCTACTGTACATAATAAATATGTACTGGATGGTATGTTTGGGAATGGTCATCATTCTATATATAACGATATAATTAAACATAGTTATATTGTACTGAACATTTTACTGTATCTGTATTCTCAGTACTCAGTTACGCATGTATTGCGATAACTCGCACTGTATATAAGCTGTTCTTGAAAAACAAACACATTTTTAAAGAAATACGCACATAATTTTATACACCGTGTCGTCTATATTGTTATATAACACTGATATCAACATGGATTACGATTTTTCTAACAAAGTGGTGCTAATAACCGGTGCAAGTGCTGGTATAGGAGAGTCCACCGCTCTCCTGTTCGCTAAACTTGGCGCGAAGCTGTCGCTGGTGGGAAGAAATGAAGCTCACTTGCGAGCAGTCGCGGCCGAGTGTGAGAAGCAGAAGGGCGTGAAGCCGCTGGCGATCGTCGCGGACCTGGGGACTGATGAAGGGGTCCAGAAGACTGCCAAGGAGACTCTTGAGCATTTTAAGAGGTAAATAATTGATGGTTAACTAACCATTTGCTGAGACATCACTTGTAACTCAAGGTGACACGCACTCCTCGTCAAGTATAATAAATAAGTGTTGTTACGATAACCTGCATTACCTGCACAATTGATGGTGTGTTGTACAGATTACTACAATTGACGAGCTGTTATTAAACATGACTACCTCGTTGGCCGAGTGGTCGTAAGTGCGACTCCGGGCAAGGGGTATTGGGTTCGATTCCCGAGTCGGGAAAAGTATTACTGAGTTTTTTAAATATTCTCGGTAGTAGCACGGAGTCTGGAATTGTGCCCGGTATATGGCAATAGGCTCACCCCCTATTACATGGGACTCATAACATAAATAGTGAAAAACGGGTGTTACATTGTACAGTGGTATAATATGCACCTCTGCCTAACCCTTCGGGGATAAAAGGCGTGAAGTTATGTTATGTTATCAAACATGACGTTATCTGCAGAAAATCGAATGATGAAAACTTACGATTTTTTCCATTGAATGTAGACATTGGGTTACCAAAGTTATGAAAGAGTACTCTTTCAGATTGCTACATATTTTTTTATGTTTTTCAGCAATAAAACTTGGTATAAGAAATTGAATTTGGTATAAAAACTGCTAAACTACCCCGCCAGGTAAAAACGACCACATTTTTTCTGTGTAAAAAGCCAAACACACTATAATCTTACAGTAAAGTAAGTTGTATACCTTACTTCATTTCTGATATCTTTTCAGGTTGGATGTCTTGGTGAACAATGCAGCCGTCGGAGCCCGCACCACTCTCCTGCACGAGACTGACATGAAGATCTTCGATGACGTGTTCACGATCAACGTGCGCGGCGTTTACCTGCTCACCAAGCTGCTGGCGCCAGCCCTCATCGAGACCAAGGGAAATATCATCAATGTCTCCAGCGTATCAGCTACTATGGTAGCATTGGGCACTTTGCCGTACGGAATGGCAAAGGTGAGGATTGATCTCTACTTCTCTGGATTATAATTTTAAAAAGAACCTGCTGAATTTATGTCCTATTCCGTTCCAGGCGGCTCTGGACCACTTCACTCGCCTGGTCTCCCTTGAGCTGGCTTCAAAGGGCGTCCGAGTCAACGCAGTCAGTCCAGGAATGACTGTGAGTGTTATATAGTAGTCATTACATTAGTTATTGTACTCTTAATTGTGAAGACATGAATAGTAATAAACGATCGTTTGTTTTAGGTTTCGAGCTTCGTGAAGCGTTTAACAGGATCCACTGACGAGGAGTACCAAGCTTGGTTGGCAGCTACCAGTAAATATATTCCCATGGGAGAGCCATGCGTCGGAGACGACATCGCCAAGATGATCGTGCACGTTGCTAGCGAGCATAGCAGGCTGGTCACAGGGACGATAGTGGAGGTGGACGGGGGAATGAGGTTCGGCAACTTTTCGAATGCGTTTAGTAAGCAAGCTAAGTGAATTTTGAGAAGCGTCTGAACCGAATATCCAGTATTGTCCAATATTTTATGTTTGTTGTATATACACAATGTTCACCTTCATATTAAATAACTCGTTAGACCTGAAATGTGTGTTTTTTCAATCATCATTTAAATACAATTGCATGCATCTGTCAAAATAATAGAGTAAAAGTTTGAGTCTAGTGTTATCTTCTTCCTATCATAGATCTGACATAACTATTAAATTACTTAGATAAATTTAATAGCGTCTTTTTCCTCTTCTTTGGATCCTTATATGATTCTGAATTTGAAAATACATTAAATCTGTTGTGTGACACAAAATCGTAATGTGGTCGTCATGGCTTATATATCAGTAGATCGTACAGACGATATCGGCGCTAATTTTCAAATCCTCCGTGTGATATAAATAGCAGCGCTAGACGCAGCCTGTACCAGTACATTCAAGTACGTGAATCTTATACACACCAAAATGGACTACGATTTTTCCAATAAAGTGGTGCTAGTTACTGGCGCAAGTGTCGGTATAGGCGAATCCATAGCTCTCCTGTTCGCTAAACTTGGCGCGAAGCTGTCGCTGGTGGGAAGAAATGAAGCTAACTTGCGAGCAGTCGCGGCCGAGTGTGAGAAGCAGAAGGGCGTGAAACCGCTGGCGATTGTCGCAGATTTGGGTACTAATGAAGGAGTCGAAAAGACTGCAAAGGACACCTTAGATCATTTTGGACGGTAAGTTGATAAGATTCTTCGCTTCGTACGCTATTCAGTATATTACGGTATAACTTGTAGATAAAATATTTATTCCAGAAAAAATATATAGAGTAATAAAAACTATCTCTGCTTTTTTCATATTTCCTACTATATAAGTCACATCTTAATTTTCGCTATTTTTGATTTGCAGACTGGACATTCTTATTAACAACGCAGCCATTGGTGTCTCAACATGGCTCCTGCACGAGACAGACATGCAGGTGTTCGACGATGTGTTCAGGATCAACGTGAGGGGAGTGTACTACCTCACTAAGCTACTGGCCCCCGCCCTCGTCGAGACCAAGGGCAATATTGTCAACATCTCCAGCATTGTGGCCACAATGGTGTCTGTGGGCAGTCTGCCGTACAGCATGACCAAGGTTATTATCAGACATTATTCTGTAACTGTTTGTAGTCCATTGCAGCTTAGTTGTAATTCGAACATAACATCACGCCTTTCATTCCCGAATTCCCGGGGAACCCCTGCGGGGCCTGCCTGCACACGCAGAGGTACACATTTCGGCACTTAATACCACTGTATAATGTAACACCCACTTTTTACCATTTATGTTACGAGTCACATGTAATAGGGGGCGAACCTATTGCCATATACCAGGCACAATCCCAGACTCCGTACTTTTAAAAAAAAGTTTTTTCGAGATTTAAAAAAAAATCCAGTCATAGTTGCCCGACCCGGCAATCGAACCCCTTGACCGGCAGTCGCACTTACGACCACTCGGCCGACGAGGCAGCCAAGGTTGTAGAGGTAATTCCAAGTTACTGATTATTCTAAATTTCTCTTTCCAGGCTGCTCTAGACCACTTCACCCGTCTGATATCTCTGGAGCTGGCTCCTAAGGGTGTCCGAGTCAACACAGTCAGTCCTGGAGTTACTGTAAGTATACGCTATAAAACATTTATCAAGTCTACTAAGCTATTCCTAACGATGAAAATCCCGTAACGTTAAGAATTACAACATTTAATTAATTTTGTCTGTCTTCAGGTATCAGAATTCGTGAAACGTATCACCGGATTTACAGAGGAGCAGTACAAAGAATGGTTAATCAAGTTTAGTAAGAAGATCCCCATGGGAGAGCCATGTACAGGAGATGACATAGCTCGCATGGTCGTGCACATCGCCAGTGACCACAGCAGACTGGTCACAGGGACTGTCGTGGAGGTAGACGGAGCGTACAAGTTCAACGGCTCGACACAAACTCCATTGTTTGACGAATAACGTTGCACTAATTAATTGTTACTAACTTATAACAAAAGGTTTATTTAAGATGTTAACTATTGTGATAACTATTTTTTACACAAATAAAGTTTATACTTAATTGTCAATTTTTATGATTTCCTATTTTTTGGTCTGGTTATATCAGAATATTTGCTAGTTAACAGTTACTCTCTGTGACTAGCATTTTAGGAATCTTAGAACCTGATAAAGTAGGAAACAAACCCTTACATTTCAAAGTTCAAAAATGTCATAAAGCCGTAAGCTTGAAAATGGAACTGGGACTGGTTATGTCATGTATGCCTCATGTCGTGGTGTGTGTGGATGAAAGTCAAGTCAGCAGACCTCTGCGTAGGATTTAAAATGTACACAGATAAGTAAATAGTAAATGGGGGGGAGAGTACTATTTATGCGAGATTAGTGGATTTTTTTTTTATAATTAGGGAAGAATAAAGCAGCATTTACTTGATATTAATGATTTTAAAAACATGTTATGGAAACTAAAGAAAAAGATCTCTAAATGTTCCTTTGTTAATAAAACTTAAACAACGTACCTAAATTTAAGAATTCAGACTTACGAACAAATAGGAAACGTCAAACGATAAACAAATAGACCAGGATAATGCATCTCCTTGTTTTTTAAATCATAATTATATAAACTACAAGTTCTTGAGTAAAAATAGGCGTTCCACAAGGGTCAATATTGGGGTCTTTCCCATTTTCAATTCATATTAATTATTTTCCACATAATATATTAATATAATTGAAAAATGATGCTATCTATGGGTACTAAATAGTTCAATTTAAGTAAACTAAAGTAAAATACCCAAATTATAATTTTATTAAAGTTACAAAGTATTTAAATAATTTAACATACAACGAAGTAGAACAGCTATTAAAACCCACACAGTAAGATGCTGAATATACTCTTGCGCATAACACACACACCCTCACTCACTCACCCTCACTCACTCACTCACTCACTCACTCACTCACACACTCACACACTCACACACTCACGCACTCACACACTCACATACATACTCTTCACACATTAATTGTCCTTTTGTTATATTTTACTTAATTTTTTTTTTTTTTTTTTGTATTAGTATTTTGATCGCATTAGTCCTAAGCAAATCGTATTGTTGATAGCCGCGATACAGGCTTTGCCTAGTGCGGCTGTCATTGTAAATTTTTACTGTAAACATTGGAATGCCTAATAAAGATTTATTATTATTTATTATTATGTATGTCTTTACCATTCACGGGACCACAGGGTCCCGGTCATTTGGGAGGCGTACGAGGGGCCGAAGCCAACTGCGCAGAGGCCCTTTAGACAACTTTAATATAAATGTAATGGACACACAAACCGGCGACTATCCCTGTATGCACTATGGAAATGCACCCAAGGACAGTCCCCGGTTAGTGTAGGACTATTGTGGATAATGGAAAAAAAAAGGTAGGGCTATGGATGGGTTGCTGTGGACTGGTAAATTAGGAACTATGGATAACTATGGCACCTGCCGAAACAATGTAATTTTTACACGTAAAAATGGCAGGCGGAGACTCGCCAACTCACCGACCGGGCCCCGGGAATGGTTGCTAGATATAGCAACAGAGGGGCAACGAGAATGTGAGTGGCTGAAGGGTTAAGAAACTACCACCGCTTTCTACTCAGATCATCTGCTCCAGCCGAAGCCTCCTGCATCCCTGGCCCACTCGCGACTTACGAATAGTTTCTTACCCTCCGAGCAGGATCACTGCTCTCGCGACTCCACTCTGGACGGCCAATGAAGGCAAGCCAGAGGTGGGAGACCTGTTCCTTGTCATCTTTCACTCCAGCCAGCCAATTAAGGCAAGCCGGAGAAGAAGGAACGGTGACTTCTCCCTGGAGCACTCGGGATGATGGTAGCCCGCGGGATCGCTAATGCCCGTCACCTCGCCTCAAGGTGCCCTGCGGGCTTATTATTATTATTATTATGTATGTCTTTACCATTCACGGGACCACAGGGTCCCGGTCATTTGGAAGGCGTACGAGGGGCCGAAGCCAACTGCGCAGAGGCCCTTTAGACAACTTTAATATAAATGTAATTATTATTTATTACTGGGAATGCGCACAGTAATGCTATATTTTCCAACCCTCATTCTGATTAGATTATTTGGAATTCTCTCTTAATACGATTATACTTTGGCTCCAATCTTCATATGGATTGAATTTTAACTTTGAGCGAACTAGTGTTCGTGGTTTAGGGTATGTGATGATGTGATGTATATTGAAAACAAAAACAAAAGATTACAAGTACTTCAAGTTTTAATTATCTTTATGGTAAGTAATTAAATATCACAAGTATAGTCTTTAGGTGCTAAGTATAAGTGGTCACTTCATTTCTTCTGAAGTGCTGATTGTGGTGTTGGACCGCTGAACCTGTAGGCTCCGTCTATCTCCACAACAGTTCCTGTGACCAGTCTGCTGTGGTCACTGGCGATGTGCACGACCATGCGAGCTATGTCATCTCCCACACAAGGCTCTCCCATGGGGATCTTCTTACTAAATGTTTTCAAAAACTCCAAATATTGGTCCTGTGAGAAACCAGTAACTCGTTTCACGAATTCTGATACCTGGCGACAGAAATATGAACAATGTTACATTTTGTTAACATATATCCAATCATAGTTATCGAACTATGGCTATGATAAAAGGCTAAATTTAAATGGATAAAGAAGAATGGAATGGAAGATGACGACTAAAGGAAAGATGGAGAACTTTTGTCATCATCATCATCATTATTGTGTTACTCTTCTTTTTTAATTTTTCAAGCCATTCAATATTTCTAAACTATTACTTACAGTGATACCAGGACTAATTGAATTAACTCTAACTCCCTTGGGGGCCAGCTCGAGGGACACCAAACGGGTGAAGTGATCCAGTGCAGCCTGAAACGTGAAAATTATCAATCAATCAGTAGGAGTAATCTTCTGCTAGTGACCAAGATTATGTTAGATCATTCTGGAAGGTCATATTTACCTTCGTCATGCCATACGGCAGGCTACCGACAGACACCATAGTCGCTACGACGCTGGAGATGTTGACAATGTTGCCTTTGGTCTCAATGAGGGCAGGCGCCAATAACTTGGTAAGCTGGTACACTCCTCTCACGTTAATCCTGAACACATCGTCGAACAACTGCATGTCTGTGTCGTGCAGGATATATGTGGCGACACCAATGGCGGCATTGTTAACGAGGACATCCAATCTGGAAAAGGATAATAATTACAAATTAAACTCAGTTTTAATAAACATAATCAATTAGAAGAATGTTGAGAGAAGATAAAAATGTGTAATATACATACGTAACGTCACATCTAATATCCCCGAAGGGGTAGGCAGAGGTGCACATTACGGCACTTAATGCCACTGTACAATGTAACACCCACTTTTCACTATTTAGTTATGTTATGAGTCCCATGTAATAGGGTGTGAGCCTATTGCCATATACCGGGCACAAATCCAAACCCCGTGCTACTACTGAGAATTTTTTTAACCCAGTAATTCTTCGCCCGACCCGAGAATCGAATCGAACCCGAGACCCTTTGTCCGGCAGTCGCACTTGCGACCACTCGGCCAACGAGGCAATTAGTAATACAAAATATTATTATTTTAAACCATTTTTATTACTTTTGTTAAACAGCACACAAAAATGAAAACAAGCCATCGTAAGATAGATCGTATCAGGCAAAAATAGAATCCGATATATCTAAATCTTGACTCGGTGTAGGCTTATCTGTAGAACGATATTGTGATAGGACGTATTACCCTTCGATAATGTAATTCAGAACCGACAAACATGAAGGTAATGTATCTATTAAACCATTTGATTGATTTAGAGATCATCCCATAGAGGATCTCTATTTCAAATTATTATTTGACCACATTATTGCAAAAATACCTTTTAAAATGGTCAAGAGTCTCCTTAGCAGTCTTCTGGACCCCCTCATCAGTCCCCAGGTCGGCGACGATCGCCAGCGGCTTCACGCCCTTCTGCTTCTCACACTCGGCCGCGACTGCTCGCAAGTTGGCTTCATTTCTTCCCACCAGCGACAGCTTCGCGCCAAGTTTAGCGAACAGGAGAGCTATAGCCTCACCTATACCGGCACTCGCGCCAGTTACTAGCACCACTTTGTTTGAGAAGTCGTAATCCATGTTGAGCTCTGTATTCAGGTAAAGCGTGCTTACTACCTTAAGTCTCGTCAGTTACTGGCTATTTATATCGAGTGCACTATTTATAAATTGAGTACTTATCTTAATCGCGACTAGTGGTTGTCCAGTCATTGTCGTGTTGTCAATGGATAACGGAAAACCAATTATGGTACCTATTACGTATATGCTACAAAATGAATCATATACATATGTGTTTTGTTCGCATACTTACATAGCCGTAATAATTACCTTTATAATGGGCATTGTTTTAAGTTTGCATTTCCAGCAGTGGGCGTCTTTCAGCTGTCGATGATGATGATGATGATTGTTTTAAGATAATATAAAAGCGTACGTTGTTTTGTTAACTTATTTAATGATATTATATATGTACATAAATTCTCAAGCATACAAAAAAAGTTTAAGTTTATTTCATTCAATTTGTTTGTTTTTACAGATTAATCTACGACCTCAACTCAGACTTTAATTATAATTAATAAGATCTAGAATCACTTGACATGCGTGACGAGCGTGTTTGACAGATTGTTGAACCTCAGACCGCCGTCCACTTCGACGTTGGTCCCTGTGACCAGTCTGCTGTGCTCGCTGGCGATGTGCACGATCATCCTGGCGATATCCTCTCCCACGCACGGGTCACCCATTGGGACATTTTTCTTTGCAATGTCCAACCACTGTTTATATTCGTCGTCCGAGCAATGGATTATATTCTTCAAAAAGTTGGTTATCTAAGAAATGGAAAATATCACATTATTTAACTGGTTATAAATAGAATACACACACTCGAGTTCAGTAGTGTTCCATTGTCTAGTACTTACAGTGAGACCTGGGCTGACCGTGTTAACTCTGACGCCCTTTGGAGCCAGCTCAAGAGACACTAGGCGAGTGAAGTGGTCCAGTGCAGCCTGGAACAAGCAAATTATATTAAATCAATATCTTATTAATATTCATATTCCGCAATAATAGAATTTTCCAAATGTAACTGTCCTCACCTTTGCCATGCCGTATGGTAGCGAGCCAACAGCGACAACAGTTCCGGCAATACTAGAGACATTGATGATATTTCCCTTGGTCTCGATGAGGGCTGGCGCCAGCAGCTTGGTGAGCAGGTACACGCCGCGCACGTCGATCCTGAACACGTCGTCGAAGATCTTCATGTCAGTCTCGTGCAGGATGCTAGTGCGGGCACCGATGGCGGCGTTGTTCACCAACACGTCCAGCCTGGAATAAAAGGAAGAAAGTCACGAACATAATTATCTTTAATTATTTAGACTAAGAGCTCAAAAGTTCGACCCATTTCAATGTGATAATGTTGTTTATTTTTGTTTGAACATTGTAAATTGTTATCACCTGATAAGCTATCAAGCACACCGGTTATCATAACAACACTTCAATTTTATAGTAAACAAGAATTCGGCCTTGACAAGGAACATGGAAGTATTACAGAGTAATTCTAGAACCATGGTCATGGATTTGAACGTTTACCTCTTAAAATGTGCTAGGGTCTCCTTAGCAGTCTTCTGGATCCCCTCATCAGTCCCCAGGTCCGCGACGATCGCCAGCGGCTTCACGCCCTTCTGCTTCTCACACTCGGCCGCGACTGCTCGCAAGTTAGCTTCATTTCTTCCCACCAGCGACAGCTTCGCGCCAAGTTTAGCGAACAGGAGGGCGGTGGATTCACCTATACCAGAACTGGCGCCAGTTACCAGCACTACTTTGTTAGAAAAATCGTAATCCATATTGGCAATAATATTTTTTTGTGGTACTTATTTATTAAAAATCGCGGAGATGCGTTAAAATGTGGATCTGATCTGTGTATTTAAACAATCGGCGCCAATTTATATACAGCGCAGGCTATCGTCACGTGTGAAGCGTATTAAAATGTACAGAGAATCTTGAAGATAGCTAGAGATATCAGCAAATATTACTGATACCCCTAATTGTGACATCACATTGTAACATCGCGTACTGAGGATATCAACATAATGATGCAGTCGGTCAATATCAATTTGTTACTTTTTGAACTGGATGCTCCTGGAAATGAAGATGAAGTTTTATGTTTGTTTGAGAAGCTATAAAAATATTTCGGTTCTTTTATGTTCTGGGTTACTATCATCATCTGCCTAGTATCTATCTATATACAATATAGTTGTTGTGCCTACTGCTCCAAAATCAAATTTTGCAAGTCATTGTGATATTTCATAATATTTTGCAATGATACGATGACGTGAATAGTTACACAATGTTATACAATACTCGTATATATAACATCAGGAACAACTGATGCTCCACCCAAGACCAACCGATTTAACAGATAATCGTGTAGGTACCTGGTCCTATATAAAGGTACAACATATCTTGAACCAAGCATTAGGTTTCGAGGTCTCCGTAGAGTCGGGAAGTGTACTTCTTAATTTTTACTAACTGACTTCAAAAAGGCTTTTCAGTTTCACCTGTATGTATGTATTTATGTATGTTTGAGCACAATTACTTCACGAATGGTTGAACTGATATTGATGCGACTTTTAGAAAAGTAATCTTCGGAAAACGTTTTAGTGTAATAATTAACCGTTCAAAAAAGAGGTGGTTAAAGTCGGTTTTTTAAAACTCGTTTATAAAAGAATTATTGTAACTTTAGCATAATATATTCATTTTATTTTAAAGTTCCCGGTCCTTGCAAAACTGCGATACCCTTAGAAAGATATGGTGGTCTTTTTTAAATTTTGTATTGCTAAATCGTTTAGATCGGCTAGCGTATGCTCACCTCTAACTTTCTTCCTCTTAAGGGTAGTGGGAGGTTTCATAAGAAGCACTCCCATTCATGTTATGGAATGCGAGCTCTGTGTTCCTCCACTGCATCTAAGAAGAAGGTGGTTAGCTGTCAAATATTGTTTGAAGTCGCGATCATTGTCAAATAATGTAACAATCAACCTCTTGTCAGAACTTGGCGCTCTTAAACACAGCAGATATTGGTCAAACAAGAAGCTCCCGCTACTTGTTAGTGTTTTTGAAGATGTAAAAGAAGAGAATATGAACTCATCTCCGATTCTAGAAATGTTTAGTCTAGATACATGGGTCAGTAACATTAATACTATTAAGGTTAACTTGGAGTCAATTACAAAACCAAAAAAAGCGTACGAATATAATTTAATAAAAACTGAAACGATAAAAGAGTTAAGGGAAAAATATGTAGGATATTATATTGTTTACACTGATGGGTCTAAGAGCGCCAAGGGAAATGGTGCGGCTTACTACGATCCTCTAAAACCGGAAAACAACAACAATAGTTGTTTCAAAATAATTAACGCTGTATCAGTTATGTCTTTGGAACTCTTTGCAATCTCAGAAGCACTTATTTACATTCAAAATAATGACAAAAGAAAAGCTGTGATTTGTGTTGACAGCAAAAGTGCACTACAACATATAGCTCGCTGCGCCTCTGGTTACAGAGGGGCATCGATAGCTTATGGTATCCTTTCTAAGATACAAAATTTAACCAGCAATGGGTTTGATCTGAGATTGCAATGGGTTCCTTCACATATAGGCTTACATGGTAATGAGGAGGACCGGTTGGCAAAATTGGGAATTGATGAGGGAAAGGAGGTAAATATTGGAACATACTACGTAGAATTATTACCAAATTACAAAAACAAATGCTATGAACTTTGGAAAGAATATTTTAATGAAAGGTCCAAGAATAAAGGAATATGGTATAGATCTATGGTATCGGAGCCTCCTCATGTACCATGGTTTTACAACACCAGGTTATCCAGGCGGCTGGTGGTGACCGCGCACAGACTGCGATCTGGACACATGCCCCTCAATAAGTTTGGGTTTCTAATGAAAAAGACCGACTCACCAAATTGTGATGTATGTGGAACACCGGAAGACGTTATACACTTGTTGTGGGAGTGTGCCAGATTTCAGTCGAACCGAGTAGAACTATTTAAGGATCTAAACTTGAATATGTATGATGTAGGTGTATTTCATTGCCTTTTATCTACACCTAATTCGGAGGCTGCCTCCAAAGTATTTATGTTTGTTAGATTACGTTTTAGTTAGATTATACCTCTATAATTATATTAGTATATAAGGTATGATGGGACTGGCGTACACGTCCGTGTAAAAGTCCCTAATAATAAATAAAGAGAGAAAAAAAAAAAAAAAAACTTTCTTCCTATACGTTCTTTCTTTCTCCCTTCTTTTAGGAGTTGTAAGATCTTCACACAGTCTATAAGTGACCACTGCTGACCAAAAGCCTCTTCTCAGACGGTGAAGGTTTGATCATTAATCACCACGCGTGCTCAGTACGGATTGTATCTTACATTATATCAGTTTGTATATTTTACACGCATCCATGAAACAAAAGAATAAATATTTTTGTAACTAAAACATTATTAAGTAAAGTTAAATTTTTAATGTTTAACGTTAATTGTGATAAGTGTATCACACAGGAAGGGACACCCAGGCGGGAGCAGTAATTGAAAGATTTCGCCCCTTAAAAAAAAATCACACAGGATAGGCAGAGGCGCACATTACGGCAGTTAGTGCCAGTGTACGATGCAACACCCACTTTCCACTATTTTTATTTTATTTTATTTATTTATAAAACCAACAGCATTACTTATGGTTTATATTATAATCTAATATATATCTAATTATATAAGTTTGCGTGAATTACAGAGATTAAGGCTAATAATAGGATTCCCCTTATTTTTTTATGGCATTTTTTACGGTAAACGAGAAGACGGATCACCTGATGGTAAGCAGAGACGTTACAAGTGCGTTACCGGTCTTTTGGGGATTAGGAGTTTGAGGATCGTTGGGGATTCAGGGATTGGGTAACCTCACTCACACGACGAAACACAACGTAAGCGTTGCTTCACGTCGGTTTTCTATGAGGCCGTGGTATCACTCCGGGCGAGCCGGTATTTCCTAGATTTTGTAAACATGCGAACGGCACTGCGACCCTACATGAGCTCGCGGGCGTGCTTCCGGTCGATCTTGAGGTGCAGCGACGTGCTGCTATGTACTACAATGCGAGACCTAATTTGTCAGCAAGCTTTCTAGCACAACGTGATCGAAATGAAATTGCTAGATTGTTTAAGCCATTAACAGACGTTTGGGGCGAGCTTATAACTGAATGGCAGTGTAGATGGGAATCTTCTATTAAGGGCCGCCACCTATATCAGTTCTTTCCATTCGTGCATGAGCGGCTGGAGAGGACATGGTTGGAGATGGATCACTGTGTTGCCCAAGTTGTTACTGGCCACGGCAACTTGAAAAGCAAATAGTTCTCATTTAAATTTGTTGATTCACCATGATGCCAATGTTCGACAGCGGAGCTACAATACGAGCAGTCCGTACATCACATACTCTGGGAATGTGATCTCTGGTAGTATGAACGTAACACTATGTTAAATAATTTAATTGTTTCGTCAGGTGAAGCTTATTATACGGACCTTGTGGAATCTAGAACAAATTTCCGTTCGTTTCGGCGCTTTTGCCATACCTATTATTGGAAGAAAGTATAACAGCTCACACATGGGACCCACTTAGATTTTAGTCAAATTTCCGTGGTGCTTGGCGACTGGGCTTCACCCAGTTGTACAGTCTCTTCTTTGTGCCTTTAGGCTTAATTCATTCTGTCTCCTGCAGTAATTCACCGGGGGAAGTGGAAACTATCGTTTTTTCCTTCTTTTTTTATAAACACAAAGTTTTAGGTACCTATTTTATTTTAGGACTGTCATTGAACACATGAACTATGCTGGAGTCAATTATTTAGTATGGCGTCTAAATTAGTTTATTATTTAGTGTGGTTATTATACTGAGATGAATATGGGTGCCCCAAGGTTCAGTACTAGGTCCCTTCCTTTTTTTAGTTAAATTTTCTGTTATAATCACCTGTAAGATTTGCTCCGAGATACAATATATTTTTAAACACAGATTAAAAATATATTTTGCAAAAAATATATTTAAAAATATATTTTGCAAAAAATATATTTTTAATCTTTTGATCATAATTTTTATCTGTCGTCTAGTGTACACATAACACCGTTGTCTTATATTTCATCTGACGTGTGCCATATTTTTGACATTTTGTATCGTTTTTAGTTAGTTATAGCTCAGTGTTTTGTTCTTAACTTGTAATTTAATTTTTATTTATAATTTTTATACTATAATTTCCATTCAAGGTTTAAGTTTTATGTATACCTAAATTTTAAGATTTATTTGCATGATATGGTCTCCTATAATTGAGGAAGAACATAGCTTTTAATTTTTTGTAATGTTACTCGTGTGTTCTAAGTGTATTCCTTGTTGGAGACATTAATTCAATAAGGAAATAAATTTCCAATAAACGGCAGTTTTTTTAGATCGATGTTTATGGGGGTGAACGCTACACATGGCAATTGCACCGAATGGTTGTTTCTATCTGCGTGTAAAATGTAGGTATACAATAACGGGGTTGTTGAATTAAATAAAACAAAAAAATAAATATGCATACTTGTGGTTTTTTATTAAATTATCACAGCATTGTTTTTATACTACAATTTTTTTTGTAAGAGGTTCACTTTATCTACTCGAAGTAATGACTGATGGTGACGTCGGGCCGCTAAACCTGTAGCCGCCGTCTATCACCACAACGGCACCAGTGACCAGCCTGCTGTGGTCACTAGCGATGTGCACGACCATGCGAGCTACGTCGTCTCCCACACAAGGCGCTCCCATGGGGATCTTC